TATAATAATAATAATAATTCCACTTTTAAAAGTGAAAATTAAAGATAAAGAAAAATAATATAATACAACATATATATATATATTGTATATAGATAAGCTATTTCAAATGATTAAAAAAGTCACCTACAAGATAAACATTACAATGTTAAATATAAAAAAAAATTAAGCATCACTGATACCACTTATTTTTGTTTTAAACTACAGTAAGTGAAACATGCATTATTGCAAATACATTACAAAGTACAAACAGAAATATACTACATTTTCTCATGACCTCACAAAGTTGAATGCTTATTTCAGCAAGTGACGACTAGCTACCATCTTGTACCAAAAAAAAAGAGAGAGAGAGAGAGAAAGGTTGTCAATTAAATTTATTTAACGTAAAAAATGTCTAAACATTTGACAGTGCAATCAAATAAAAGGTCAAGAAAGAGATGGGCTGAATTTGGAACATTATGCTTGCATACTGCTACTTCTGCCATATAGAGTAGTAAGTATAGTAAGAGAAGTGTGAAAAATCATGACTAATATCACATCCGTTTCAAAACATCGCAAATGGAAGGTCAACTTGAGTGCATTATATTGAGGAATAAAGTATTCCACAGAGTGTCACTGCTGTATAATGCTCATTTCTGCAAATGCCATCCAGGTATTCCACGCATACAGGAAAGTCTGTGCACAACATACTAAACTAAGAGAGGTATTCCATTCTGAACATGTTTTTTACTAAAATGGCCTACTAATGGGCTTCACCTTAAACGGAGCAATTTAGTCCAGCAGTTCAAGAAAACATATGTGGTTTAAAGTTGTATCCAAAACCTACAGTTAACCTTGGCTATCAAAGCTGCGCCTCTAACTGAAGCTAAAAAATGCAAGGTTGCAAGGGTGATGCCGGACGACTTGGTAATTGCGAGTATTATACAAAGTAATGATTTTTCACAGAAAGACAGCGGTACAAACTCAAACACGGCTCTAATCACCTTGAGATTTCTCCCCCGGGGAAACTTCAAGGGCAGAAGCAGAGATTCAAACAGACGATTCGTGCTCTAACGGCATATAAACAGGAGCAGGATCCACGCACATCACTTATTAAAATTCAAATCGCAACTAAAATGCCAAAGCATTAAATGAATCATTAACTAAAACTAACAGATACTTTAAAAAAGTGAATGCACCAGCCAACAATACAGAATTACTCAGATAAATGAGGTGAAATTTATTGCCAGATATTTGAAACCACCTGCTCATCAAACATCTCACATAACGGTGGATACTAAAAGCAATGTAAGACCCGCCCCCTTCGTTACTGGTGCTACATCCGACAAGCAATGGTGCTCTCACACCACACAACATGTTCTCAAGCAGTGATATTCGTGACAGATCACTGTAGCGCCTCAGTTCAAGCACCAACTGAAGCGATCATCTTTTCATATTTACTAGTTACAGCGTGAAATAAACATGAATGAACATCAGAAGATATATTGTTTCAATAGGCCTACACACCATTTTTCACGTTCAAGTCCGCCAACGTTAATCTACTCTCCTGTCTGGTTTGTTTATCGGACAAAAATGGCAGATTTGGCATCATGATTGGTCAGATTGTCTGTCAAACTTCCATAAAAGTATGATGACGGGAACCCCAGTTGATAAAACGGGGAACATCAGGAGTGGGATATGTCATTCCTTGGACAGGAAATACATCTTAAAGGGGTCGTAATAATCAAGGAACTTTGCTGCCGTACCATGGGTGCAGCAGGCGCAATGATATAACGCAGCGCCTGAAAATAGTCCCCAGCTAGGTAACTTCCAATAAGCCTATTTTCAGGCACTGCGTAATATCATTGCGCCTGCTGCACTCATGGTACGGCAGCAAAGTTCCTTGATTATTACGCCGGAATGAGAGTATAGTTCCTAGCCATATCAGCCTAGAAAATCGCAACTTTTCATTTTCCGTCGGTCTTAGTACACGATGTAACCACAGAAGGGTCAAGTTTTAAATAGGAAAAATATAGAAACATTTTTGGTCATTTTTGAGCGAGATGCTAACAGTCTAATCAGATTCAATGATCTATGCTAAGCTACAGCTAAAAGTGCTACCGCCAGACCCGGAGATCGGCTGAATGGATTAGAAAATGGTAAAACTCAACTGTTTAACTCTAGGGGAGTTTGAAAATGAGCCTATTTTCAAAAATAGTGGAGTGTTCCTTTAAGGCCTCAGGCTTATGAAAGCGTCTCTGAATGAAGGTGGGATTGATGATGTCAGCTAAAAAAGAAAGTAGTTTCTGGGGCAGAACAAGTTATTATATTCATATGAGAGATTATGATGACAAAAATAGTCCGGTTTGATTTCATGTGCACATTTTAATATCACTGAGATGCTAGTTATCTATCAAAATTTTGCATTTTTATTTTTCTATTTTTCTATTACCTTATTATAATATTAGTTGATGTTTTAGTATTTTGTGTTGTGCTTTTGTCATTTATATTAGTTGTTTTCTAAATACATCTATATAGTTTTTATTCGTTTTCATTTCACTTTTAGTTTGTTATTTTACTATACGTTTTATTACAAGTTAAACTAAATGAAAATTATAAATTGTTCCTATATATTTCCTATGCATTTTATTTGAAGTATTTTTGAATAGTTTTAGTTGTAGTTAACGATAATAAGTATTTATTTTATTTTTTATTTATTTAATTTTAGTTAAAAGTTTTACTAATTTTGTGTGTTCTTGTCATTTTTATTATTTTTTTTGTAAATATATCTTTGTAGTTTTTATTAAGTTGTATTTTCCCTTGTCAACTAGGTAAAATAAAACCAGTTTATATATATATACATATATACACACACACACACACACACATATATATATATATGTATGTGTATATATATATATATATATATAGTTTTACTTGTAGCTAGCTATAATAACCATAAGTATTTATATATTTAATGTTTTGGTGGTTAATATGACTGTGTTCTTGGAATTTACAATTACTATATGTAAGGTATATATATATATATATTGTAGAAATATTCTATTCAAATACCCTATTAATATTCATCACCCATGACTGATTTGAAAGTGTTTAATTATCAGGAGGATTACTGAAATAAAGTGAGCATTATTCAGCTGCTGGTGACTGATATGACTGGAGTCTAATGCAAGCAGATCTGACTACAGGGGGAAGTCATGGCCTAATGGTTATAGAGTCGGACTCGTAACCCAAAGGTTGTGGGTTCGAGTCTCAGGTCCGGCAGGGATTGTAGGTTGGGGGAGTGAATGTACAGCGCTCTCTCCCACCTTCAATACCATGACTGAGGTGCCCTTGAGCAAGGCACCGACCCTCCAACTGCTCCCTGGGCGCCACAGCATAAATGGCTGCCCACTGCTCCGGGTGTGTGTTCACTGCTGTGTGTGTGCACTTAGGATGGGATAAATGCAGAGCACTAATTCCGAGTATGGGTCACCATACTTGGCCACATGTCACTTCACTTCACTACAGTCCTGCTGGAGTCTGCAGCTGATGACGTCACTGCACCGAGGCTCCAGCGCGCGCCTGTGTTTCTGCTGCCATCCAGTGCTGGAAGAACTCAAATACAAGTCTAAAATCAAATATGAAAACACAGTTTCTTATTCTAAAATACAGAAATATATGTCCAAATACCGAGAAAAAAAAAAAGTCTGGAATGTTTCTGATGTCAAATTTCAGTTTCCTCGTCTCCAAAACATTTTCTGTCATTATATATCTGCCATTAATATTATTTTTCTCCATGTTGGTGGTAAATCCGAGAAGCAAGGCTTATGTGCTTTATTTTACTTGATAAATGTAATACTACTTTGCGTAATTTATTCTGAATAGATAATACTTTACACTTAATTTAGGTAAATATCGCATTCATAATGTGATGTGTTTTAAGGTCATGTTCATTTCAGAAAATATAAGAAGAAAATAACATTAACTACGAGAATATCTCGAATTACTGAATTTGTTTATTTTAGTTTTTCTTTATTATGAAATAATAATAATAATAATAAATAATGTAATAATAATAATTAACATAATAATAATAAACATAAACATAACAATAATAATGATGATGATGATGATGATAATAATAATAATCATTATTATTATTATTATAAACATAATAATAATAATAATAATGATGCTGATGATAATGATAATAAACAATAATAATAATAAACATAATAATAAACAATAATAAACATACACCTAATAATAAACATAATAATAATAATAAACATAATAATAATAATAAACATAATAATTATAATAATAATAATAATGATAATAATAAACATAATAATAAACAATAATAATAATAAACATAATAATAAACAATAATAAACATACACCTAATAATAAACATAATAATAATAATAAACATAATAATAATAATAAACATAATAATTATAATAATAATAATAATGATAATAATAAACATAATAATAAACAATAATAATAATAAACATAATAATAAACAATAATAAGCATACACCTAATAATAAACATAATAATAAACATAATAATAATAATAAACATAATAATAATAATAAACAATAATAATAAACATAATAATGAAATAATAATAAACATAATAATAATAATAAACAATAATAATAAACATAATAATGATAATAATAATCATAATAAAAATAATAATGATAATAATAATAACAAACATGTAATTAAAATATACAGTAAAAGCAACGGCCCGCCCTCATCCCCGTGCGTCATCTCGCTGTGCGTCACGCGTCATCAGCGCGTCGTGTCCCGGCTGGACCGCAGTGTCGGTTCTCCGGTGACTCGGGAGGAGGATGATTGCAGCGGCGGTTCTGCGCTTGGTCGGTTTCGGGAGCGTGACGCGAGCACAAGCCGCCTTCACAGGTACAGAAGCACAGTCTGAGAATCTCGATGACCTTCGACTGGTTTGAGGATGTTTGTGTGATTATTGCGTGCGTTTGTGTTTGCCCTTGTAATGACCCACATCTCATCTCAACAACACGTGACACGTGTATTATTGTTTATACATACAGTAGATACAGTAATACCAGTGCTGGGGAGTAACTAGTTACATGTAACGGCGTTACATAATTTAATTACAAAATAAATGTAACTGTAATCTGTTACAGTTGCTGAGACAAAAAAAGTAATTAAATTACAGTTACTTATGAAAATGTTAATGCTTACAAAGGGGGTTACATCTGAATACTTATTGTATTAATATTTACTATTGCCTGTTATGATTTTAAATCTGTATTTAACCTCAGAACGATCTGCAAAAGTCTGATGGTGGCTGTGCTTTAAAATTAAATGATTAAAATCTTAATTAAAGTGAAGAAGGATTCTGAAAGCACTACTGTAAGCTTATAACCCTGCCTGCTTTAAATGTTTAAAAATAATTAAGAGTTGAAAACATTTGTTAGAAATGTAGCAAAGTAATCCAATGTAATCAGTTAAATTTTTTAAATAAAGTAACTGAAATAGTTACACTGCTTGTTACATTTTAAATAGGGTAGCTTGTAATCTGTAACCATTTCCAGAGTAACCTTCCCAACACTGAGTGATACAGTAGTTTATATTATAGCAGGTTTTCCTCTTGTCTCGCAGCTCCTCTGGCTGTCAGATGTTACTCTCATGCCAAAGTGGAGACCAATGAGGAGTTTGACTCCCGCTGGGTGACGTACTTCAGCAAACCAGATCTGGACGCCTGGGAGCTGCGCAAAGGTGACAGTACAGTAAAAAAAAATACAGTAAAAATCTGAAATATTTTTACAATTCAAAATCACTGTTTTCTATGTGAATATCTGTTAAACTGTAATTTATTTCTGTGATCAAAGCTGAATTTTCACACACAGATGATCGTCACATGATCCTTCAGAAATCATTCTAATATGCTGATTTGCTGCTCAAGAAACATTTCTGATTATTATCAATGTTGAAAACATATGTTTGTGATTTTCTATTCGTTCTCTCCAGGAATGAACACTCTGATTGGATACGACCTCGTTCCAGAGCCGAAGATCCTGGACTCTGCTCTGCGCGCCTGCAGGAGACTGAATGATCTGGCCAATGCGATCCGCATCCTCGAGGCCGTCAAAGTGAGAGAAACAAACGCTCAGCTAGAAAAGAGTTTATGCTTTCATTTGTGTCTCTGTTAAAGGGACAGCTCACCCAAAAATTAAATGCTGAAATTTTAGTCACTCTCAGTTCATCCGAGATTGTTTCTGCATCAGATTTGGAGAAATGTAGCATTGCATCAGTTGCTCTGCAGTGAATGGGTGCCGTATGTGATCCAGGAGCTCAGACCCACGCTGCAGGAGCTGGGCATCTCCACTCCAGAAGAGCTGGGCATCTATAAACTCTGAGTCTGCTCACAGACTCCTCAAAGCAGGTTCCCTTCATCTTAAATGCACAAATGCATCACTCGTTTTTGATGCCTATTTTTTATGCATCAGATTTTGGCCATATAATGATCTGCGTCTGTTTGTGTTTCAGGGTTTTTGTGAATCGGATGGGGTTTTATACCTCTCTGCTCACCGTACGATATTCAGGGCCTAATAAATGAAGCAATACCGAATGAGTGTTTTCGTTTGTGTTTGAATGATTTGTCCTGAGATGATGAGAGTTTTTACGGTTATTCAGCAAACACTGACACTGAGGTTGCAACCCTGAATTTAGTTTTGTTTTTGAGACATTAAAATGGTAAAAAATGTAAGCCTAAAAAATGTTTAAAATTGTCTAAACAGAATCAGATCACCATCAGAAATGTTCATTTTGCAGGGTTTCTGTTAAGTCTTAATTTGCCCTTCCACAAATAAAGGCCTAAAAATGTCATAAATCAGAGCAGAAATTCATAAAGTCATGGCATTAAATGATGCATGCATTGCAAAAATAAATAAAACACGATAAATGAAAATAAAAAAGAATATATTCCTCTGTATTTTTTTGTTTTCAAATACAACAATGTAAACATTCTTAAATCAAGCTTCTTTTTTTTTTCTTTGAATAAGTTGATTTTTCTGAGTCGACTGGCAGATATTTGTTCTTGTTTTAATCATAAACTCCCTTAATTTCGATACATTTCCCATAAAACAAGATCTAATTAACCTGATGTAACAAAATAACTAAAACTAAACCTTGAATTAAAATATATTTAGTAATTTTTCAAATGTCTATAGTTTTTATACATTTTTATTTCAGTTTTAATTTTAGGTATTTTAGTACATCGAGTTAAACTAAAAGAAAATGATTCAAAATATTAAAAAATATATTTTTAAAAAATCGTGTGTGTGTGTGTATATATATATATATATATATATATATACTGCCATTAAAAATGTGGGATCAATAAGATTTGTAATGTTTTTTAAAGAAGTCTCTTTTGCTCATTAAGGCTGCATTTATTTGATCAAAAATACAGAAAAAACAGTAATATTGTGAAATATTATTATAATTTCAAACAGCTTTTTTCTATGTGAATATCTGTTAAACTGTAATTTATTTCTGTGATGCGCAGCTGTATTTTCAGCATCATTACTCCAGTCTTCAGTGTCACATGATCTTCAGAAATCATTCTAATATTCTGATTTATCACAGTTTTGCTGCTTTGGAACCTGTGATACTTTTTTTCAGGATTCTTTGATTAAATAAAATGTTAAAAAGAACAGCATTTATTCAAAATACTAATCTTTTGTTGACTGTTCAAAAGTTTGGGGTCAGTATTTTTTTCCTCTTTTTTTTGCTTTTATTCAGCAAGGATGTGTAAAATTTATTTTTTTTAAAAAGTGATAATAAAGACTTGTGATGTGACATGTGGCCAAGTATGGTGACCCATACTAGGAATTTTAAATAAATGCTGTTCTTGTTAACTTTATTCATCAAATAATGCTGGAAAAAAAGTATCACTGGTTCCAAAAAATATATAAAGCAGCAAAACTGATAAATCAGCATATTAGAATGATTTCTGAAGATCATGTGACACTGAAGACTGGAGTAATGATGCTGAAAATACAGCTGCGCATCACAGAAATAAATTACAGTTTAACAGATATTCAAATAGAAAGCCATTATTTTAAATGGTAATAATATTTTACAATATTACTGACCTCTTTAAAACACATTGAAAATCTTACTGATCCCAAACCTTTTGAGTATCTCACTGATGCAGCAGTGTGTTAAAGCCTGCAGTGGCGCCGGAGCGCCTGTGAGCGGCAGCAGCGCGCAGAGTCCGCGGAAGTGACGTCAGGCGAAGAAGAATCTTTGTTTACAGCTGTGTGTTTAAACTCTGTTAGCATGAGCTCCGACAGTGTGATTTAAGACATGATTTCGCGTTTAAACCTTCTTTCTGAAACACCGACATGAGCGACGCGATGGAGAGCCGAGAGCAGCGAACTCTTCTGTCTTCAGCCGCGATGAAGGTGATTTTCATGCATTTTTAGCTCATCTGTTGTGTTCTTAAACTCCATTAAAGCACTCGATCACATGAAGATCATGCATTCAGGAAGAGAATTACTCTATAGGAAAACTCTATTAGCAGCTGTCATCTGTGTTTCAGTCTAATCTCATGTTTGAACAATGAGTTCAGTGAAACATTTGATGAGTTCAGAGAAAGTGGTTTTTCATCAACTATAAAGTTTCTTGGTCGATTACAAAATTTTTGATGCATTCCAATCAGGTTTTAGAAAATTTCACTCCACTGGGACGGCTCTTTTAAAAGTGTTCAATGATATACTTTTAGCTACCGACTCTGGAGATTCTGTAGCTCTGGTACTTTTAGACTTGAGCACTGCTTTCGACACTAGACCACAATGTTCTTCTGGCCCACTTAGAACTGGTAGTGGGCATTAGAGTTCAGCTTTAAATTGGTTCCAGTCTTATCTTACGAACAGAAGGTTCTCAGTTAATATTGGCAAGTTTCACTCTTCCTCTGTACCTTTGACCTGTGGGGTCCCTCAAGGCTCTATTCTAGCACCCATGTTATTTTCCTTGTAAATGCTTCCCCTCGGATCTATCTTTGAGAAGTATGGTATAAGTTATCATTGTTACGCAGATGACATACAAATATATATTCCTTTGAAACATAAGAATGGATTAGACCCGGTGGCCGCCTGCCTCGTGGATGTTAAAGCATGGATGTCTCTAAATTTTTTTAAGTCTGAATGAGAGTAAAACAGAGATTGTGGTGTTTACCCCTTCGGATACACACTGTGTACCAAATCTAAATCTTGGTGTTCTGGCACCTTATGTGAAAAATCTGGGTGTGGTGTTGGACAGTGCCTTAAAGCTTGATAGACAAGTCAATCAAGTTGTGAAGTCAAGCTTCTATCAGTTGCGAACCCTGCTAAAAATGAAGTCCTTTCTAGAACCAGACTCAAGTCTAGGGGTTCGCCGTAGCTGCACCGAGACTGGAATAATCTTCCTGCAGAAATCAGAACTGCCCCTACACTATCCATTTTTAAATCCAGGTTAAAAACCAGGTTTTTATTTGATCTGGCTTATTATTCGTGATTTGCATTTGCTCTGCCCTGTGTCTTGCAGTTTTATTTGTGACCTTGTCTTTGTTTTTAATTTTGTCTGTGGTTACTCACTTTGTACGGCACACTGGTCAACGGTAGTTGTGTTTAGTTGTGCTTTATAAATAAATTGAAAATTTAAAACTATCCTCATATCACACAGAAATGTAAAGGCACACACACACACACACACACACACACAATAATAAAGAGATGTTTTATTCTGTTTATGCACAGAATATAAAATATATTACAAATACACTACCAGTCAAAAGTTCTTGAACAGTAAGATTTGTAATGTTTTTTAAAGAAGTCTCTTCTGGTCACCAAGCCTGCATTTATTTGATCCAGTGTTTAGCTGTGCTTTATAAATAAATTGAAATTGAATTGAGTTTATGTCTCTGAATGATCATTAATGTGTGTTGATTCATGAGCAGATGAGATATGGTTTGATTTTATAATAGGAAGTTTATTAGCCAGATAAGTTGCTAATCTGCACCAAAAGTATGCATGCTATGTCAAATTATAATGAAATCACACACACACACACACACACACTCTCTCTCTCACAATCTTATTTTATTTTATTTATTTTTTTTAGGAAAGAAATTATTGAAATTAATACTTTTAGCGAGGATGCTTTAAATTGATCAAAAGTGATGATAAAGACATTTATAATGTTACAAAATTTTTCTATTTCAGATAAATGCTGTTCTTCTGAACTTTCTATTCATCAAAGAAACCTGACAAAAATATACTCAACTGTTTTCAACATTGATAATAATCAGAAATGTTTCTTGAGCAGCAAATCAGCATATTAGAATGATTTCTGAAGATCATGTGACACTGAAGACTGGAGTAATGATGCTGAAAATACAGCTTTGAACACAGAAATAAATTACAGTTTAACAGATATTCACACAGAAAACAGTTATTTTAAATAGTAAAAATATTTCAGTTTTTTCTGTATTTTAGATCAAATAAATGCAGGCTTGGTGAGCAGAAGAGACTCCTTTAAAAAAACATTAAGAATCTTGTGGTGTATATGGTGTGTGTGACAGTATAAGTAGGTTAAGAATGCAATTATTATATGATAGCAATAGCGTATGATGTGAAATCTACCTTTTATTTGTCACCATGAATACAATGTTTAATCATCAGAGAGCTGAAATCAGTGACCAGCCACAAGCGGTGGAGAAGAGAGGGCCGTATATCATGTCCAAAGCTCCTGCTTTCCACACCAAGCTCCGTAAGTACTGCGAGTTCGGATCACTCGTTTGCTCTAAACTCGTGTGGTAACCTGCTTGTATTGAAACAGAAGCTGTGTTTGCAGAGAAGCACAGAGACACGGCCAGACGAGCTCTGCAGAAGAGAGGACTGGGCTCAGGGAGGCTTGTGCTTCATCAGCCACGACACAAACCAAAGACGTGAGTCTCTCGAGGGATGACGAGGATGACGCCATCATTTTCAGGGAGCTTAAAAACATGCAAACACAGATATTCACATTTATGCATTCATGCATTTGGCAGATGCTTCCATGCAAAGTGACTTGCATTGCATTTAAGGGATGCATTTTTATTATTATTTTTTTTTAATCAGTGCAATTAGTGTGAATTTATAGATCCATGAAACTGCATATCAGGGTTATTATCGTTGACTAAAACCAAAACCATAAAAAAAAACATTTTCATTACTTGAAAGAAAATAAACATTAACTGAAATAGAAAAAAAAACTTAATTCTATTTCAGCAAGTTCCCAAGGCAACATTTCTCATTTTGGTTTAGTTTAAATTAAAGTACTAAAACTAAAAACTAAAACTTAAAACTAAATAAAAAGTGTATATACATACTTTTTT